TATCGTCGTAGCGCCCAACAAGAGAAAATCTGAAGAAACGTCCGCTCATGAGCAATACATGGAAAACCTCAAACGCATTAAAAAATCTCCCAGTGAAATGGCAAGGAAATTCGATAACAAGGACCAGCTATTTTGGAATCATCGGCCCCCATCAGCGCAAGGCATTCCGACAGAGTTGCTGCATCCCGTGTTTGGTCGATTCCTAGATGACTGCGCGACCATTCAACCGGAGTTCCAAGACGTGCAGTTCACATACGAGTTCAGCGCTGAAATGTCCGGATACTTTCGCACCGAGGGCGCACGTGCAGCGAGTTTCCGGGAACTATTCAAGAGACACTTCGATATTGATCTTCCCTGCGTTGAGTTGTCTGCCTCAGTTTACAAAAATAACAAGCCGAGGACTGACGGTACCTTATACGAGGGTACATTCATGATGATGAATGCGGAAGTAAAGTTGGAACTTTGCACCGGCGCGAGCGATCCGTATATCCAGAACATCGCGTATTACAAGGAATACATCCTTAAGAATAGTATCATCGCCGAAACGAACAGGCTTCCCTGCTTTCTTGTCGTTGTATCAGGGCCACTGTTCAGTATCTCAACTGCCGTTTATGGCGAAAAGGTCACTGTGGATCCATACCCATACGTCCTTTCCCTCGATTGCTCTTCATATCATTGTGTGGATCTCGCCCGTGTCTTTTGTGCTCTAAGGAACGCGTTGGAGGTCAGTAAATCGAGCGTTAGTTGAAGGCAATGGCATGATGATTAACCATTTTGTTCATCATATTAAAGGCTCTGCGGGCGTATTACATCACGACCCCACTCCCACATATCGAGCCGGATCAACGACCATTTCCGTACATCAACTCTTTTTTGACTGATGACGAAGTCTTTGTTCGCTTCAAGTATCAAACTAGCCTTCACCCATTAGTGTTTGTTGTTCGGGTGGAAGATGCACTGAAGAACTTTCCGGAATATGTTGTTGTAAAATTCACTCGTCGTTATGATAAAAACACCCATCAGGTCTTTGCGGAACTCGAGATTGCGCCGCAGCTCTATGGCTTTGAACATCTATCTGGTGGATGGAAAATGGTCGTGATGGCATTTGTAGGTGATGAGTTTAAGATACTAGCAGAATGCAAAAAGAATCAATGTATCAAGCAGGCTGTGGAGGAAATGGCAATGAAGATGCATGGTGAAGGGCTTGTACATGGTGATCTATGTGATCTGAATATCCTTTGCCGCTACAATGACAATGACAATTCAGCAGATATATTTTTTGTTGATTTGGACTGGGCTGGCCAAGAAGGAACAGTTCGGTATCCCTTGGATATCAATCCAGATATCACTCGACATCATGAAGCAACAGCTGGTAGTCTTATTCATAAAGAACATGATTTGTATT